CCAATAGAAGATTAAGTCAAATATTGGAGCCAGACTCTGCCTGTCTCTGTGAAATATCAGTTTATGCAGCAGGATTATTCAAGTCAATGACATGATGATACTGTCTGTAATTACAAGAACTATGTATTGGGCACTTTTAGAAGAAGAAGAAAAAAAAAAGACTTAGTTCCTTTGTTTTCCCCCCAGTTAATCACAGTAGCCTGAATTTCCCCGTAAGAACACTAATTAATGCCTTGTATCTGCATTGCCCTTTATGATTCTCAAAACACCTTTTCCATGCACATTGCCTCATTTAATCCTCATAATATTCCCGTGGGAAAGAGTATTATTCTCGTCCTCTCTTTACGGAGGGGAAGCCCAGGCTCAGGTGTGTGTTTAACTGGAGCCCGATTTCCTGATGCTCCTGCTTTGCTATTTCAGTCTTTTACTGAAGTATGCCCATGCAGCCCTAGCCCAGGTTCCAAATCAGAAGGAGCACCCTTTGTTTCAAGTTGAATTTTCACCGATGTGTATCATCCTGCTTTCCTCCCCCCCTGGACTTTGTCTCTTTGAAGTGGACAGAAGGTCCGTGAAGGCCCAGGGCAGGAAGGCCTCTGAATATGGCCAGTCCCTTCTCCCTGCCAAACAGAAATGCTCAGAGAATATGGCCCTCTTCTCTTTTAGCCAAAACAGTACCACATGCACCCGGTTTAAAAAGTTCAGATGGTGTAAAAGGGTTCGGGGGAAGAGCAAGCTCCCACTCCCCGCACCCCCACACCACACTCTTCTGGCCCCGTTCCTAGAGCCAAACTCAGTAGCACTCATTTCTTGTGTCTCCTCCCAGAAGTGTTCTCTGCACCTGTGAACATTACATGGATGCCCCTTCTCTTCGTACACAGGACGGAGGACACGATAAACGCTGCCCCGCACTCACTCACAGTGCAGCTGAGATTTCTCTGTATCAGCACGTGCCGCACAGCCTCATTCTTTTCAATAACTGCTTAGCATTGCATTGCCCGAAGGTCCTTAATTTAACTTGTCTCCTGCTGATGGTCATGCAGGTCATTTATACTCTTTTACTATTAACGGCGAGGTTTTGCCAAACATCCTTGTACATGTATCTTTTTGCACACATGTGTATGTTTGGAGGAAAAATGACTAGGAGTGGAATCTATTTTATTCTTAGGACTCCTTGTATTGAACATGTCACAGACGTCCTTCGTCATTCACTTCCCTGCCTCGCATCTTTTGGGGGAAAGTTCTGACCTAAATCGCACTTGCTGGAGAGTAGGGTGTTTGTTCTCAGTCTTCGGTTTTAAGGAAAATAAAATCCCCGCTCACTACTGTCTTTTTAATGCCCCGTGTTTGGAAAGCATTATTGAGTTACCTGCGCTTTAGCTTTCCTTCTCCAGGTTGAAAAATCTTAGCTTGTTGTCCTCCAGGTTCTGTTTACAGATTTATAGTCATAGTTATTCCTTGCAACAAGACTGTTTCTTAACTTCTGCACAAAGGATCTCAGCCGCATTATTGTGACATGTTTGATGCACACCCAGAGTAGGGCTTTGTTTCGTGGAAACGGACCTTCCCCGGAGATCTGGTCACTCAGCTGAACCGGACAATGGGCTACTTGATGTCCCAGCCACCCCCACCCAAGGGTGATATTCAAAATACTTAATGACCAGGAAGGGGTGGGGGGCGGGGCTCAGTCAGTCCCCAGGCGCTAGCCCTAGTGCTGAAACAGGACGGTGCTGGAGCCCTGCTGAGCCAGGCTTCACCCTGAAGGAGAGGCCAGGGTGGGTGGCTGGTGATGGGGCCTTGGACATATATCTGTATTTAACAACTAGTGTGGCCTCACAGGGGCATGCCAGCTGGACATCAGCCCTAGTTCTCGGGGAGGTCTTGTAACATGTGGTTTAAGAACGAGCCCATTGGTCTGTAGTGGGAGACCAGGTTTGTATCATACCTGGGTCCCTTATTAGCTATACAGCTTTCAACAAGACCTAACACTTTCCTTGTCTTCAAATGAAGGAGTTTGCACCACATGATATCTAATGCCTCTTCTTGCTCTAAAATTAGAGGAAATAAAACAAAACAGCCAGGCAGGTGTGGTTCAGTGGTTGAATGTTAACCTATAAAGTAGGAGGTCACAGTTCTATTCTTGGTCAGGACACATGCCCAGCTTGTGGGCTCAATCCCCAGTAGGGGACATATAGGAGACAGCTGATCAATGATTCTTTCTCATCATTGATGTTTCTATCTCTCTCTCCCTCTCCCTTCCTCTCTGAAATCAATAAAAATATTTTTTAAAAATAAAACAAAACAGTCAAGGAGGCGGGTTCCAAACCTGAACTTTTTTCCTGGCATTTTATGTTTATGTCATAATGATGGCCTTTTCCTACCCAACTTCTTCATTCCAGAAAAGCCAACGAAATGGATTTGGGGGAAGGACCTGAAAGAAGAGAGACTATTATTTGGCTTAGGCAGCATGGGCCACATTCTAGAATTGTGGGAAGTATTGGGCCAAAGAGAGGTTCAAATCCTGACTTGGCCACAGCGATAGTCATTTGTTAGTTTATTCATTCGCTCAACTCACTAAATATTTCCGGAGCTTCTGTCAAGTGTTGGGCACTGTTCTGGGCTTTGGGAAGGGAACAATGAATGACGTAGTATCCCTGCCCTCTCGGAGCTTACATTCTAGAGGAGGTTGGACAAGCCACTTCACCTCTTTGGAGCTCAGTTTTCCCAGCTGTGAATTCTTTCTTGGTGATTGACATGGGTTGTTATTCCCCATTCTGGTGCCTAGGAGAGCCACCACTAACCAGTTGCAGCACTCCAAGCAGCCAAAGGCAACAACTAGAAAAGAATCCTGTGTGTTCTCCTAGGCTTGATGAATTTGGAAGTTCTTTCCTGCCACAAAACTTCATTTTCATTCATTATTTCTAATTGAATGTAAAAACAATATACGACTGAGGGGAAATTGCAATAGAAACTCCAAATCATAGAACTATTATTGAAGCTACAGATTTTATAAGAAAACCACCTCACTTTGGCCTTGTTGGCTACAGAAGGTGTGTGTTCTTGTAAAATGATTTTAGATCTTTGGGTCTTAGGTTTTCCTTCCACCCTGTCTTTGCTGCAAGTTCCCCTGCTCAACCTGCTTTACTTTGATCCTGAGCTAAGGGCAGGCTCGTCAACATTCACTTTTCATTCCTTTCCCTTTGGAGACCTCCTTTATAAAACCGCCCTTTACTGGAGTCAGGTCGGGCAGAATCAAATCCTGCTCATTTTGATAACTGCTGCTAATACCCACTGGATAACTCAGCAGCAATCGCTAGCAGAGGGCCTGGGGGAGGGGGGCCTGACATGGCCATCTGGTCTCTTCTGTTCTAATCAACACCATGGAACCCAAACCAGAGTTGGGCTGATATCAGCCTCTTGGTGATTTTTCCCCTCCCAGATTCCAAAGACACACTTGCAGTATTTTTATTTCTAATCCCCCCCCGCCATCCCCATTACCGACCAGCAAGACCAATGTGCCCAACTTGAGCTCAAATTGTAAAGAAAAAAAGTTTGAAGTGTTTCTGTTGGAAGTGATAACGCCACCCTTTGGGTTTCCAAATGCATCTCTACATAACAAAACAGGTAGATTTGTGGGCATCTGGGGAATTTGGCTTACTTAATTCTATTAGATATGTACACAGTAGTCTGAGATTATGAAAACTTTACTCCTATGATTTCCAAGTGTTAATGATCCAGAGGTACCTCTTTCTGTGATAAAACACATTTTTTTTCATAGAGAAATGAGAGCTGGGGTGTTCATCATCCCAGATTGAGGGTCCCATAATTTGTGCCATATTGGCTTTTGGTAACTTGTACAGAAATCAAACCTTCCCTCTCCAAGAAGCCCAGGGAAACAGAATATTTCCACCATTTTAATCGTGGACATTTAAACCGAGGAGTACTTTAAAGCAAGAGAAAAGTGATCTTTATTAATAGGTTGCGTTTAGTGAATTCATTCTTCTTTCCGGGGAGAGAGGTATAGGAAATAAGAACTTGACATTAGCCTTGTTTAAAGCAATAGGTATTAAATATAGATGAAGTAAGTCAGTTCTCCCTTTAAGATTTGTTATGGACACCCTCTTTTCTAGAGCCATAGAGTTCTCCCACATTTGCAAAATGAAGCGGAGGGCTCTCTATTTGGTTTTGAGGGGTATGGTTAGTAATATTTGCATAGGGTATTGTGTTGAGTATATTAGGAAAGTCTGCACAGAAGAAAAAAAATAACTCTGCAATTTTAAGAGCATGGATTCTGAACCCAAACTGCTTGAGTTTGAATTCCAGCTCCACCTCTTAATATATAACCTTCTCTAAGACTTGGCATCTATTAAATGGGAATAATAATAGACCCCATCTCATAGATTGTTGTGAGATTAAATGAGATTTTTCCCTGAAATGTGCTTCGCATGTTGCCTGGGCATAGTCTAAGTGTTAAATAAAAGTCATTATTTTGGCAGCTGTTCCTCTATTTCTTCACCTAAATGAATTTACATATTTTGTACATTAAGTTGTTATTATTATTTTATAGCATTGTGGACCATAGTGTATGCTGCTGAAGTGTTAGCTTACTATTATGACACAAATTCAAAATGCTTTTCTTAACATTAGAAGGACAGCATGTAAAATGGTTAAGCACCTAGGAGCTGAGCTCGCAACGCGAAATGTGGATCCACCAGTTATTAGCTGTGAGACCTTAGGCAAGTAATTTTACCTCTCCACGCCTCGGACTTCTCTGTAGAATGGGGGAAATAATACAATCTACTGCATGGGGTTGCTATGAAAACTAAGTGGGATAGCTCTGTAAAGTGCTGAGCAGGTGTGCCTGGTATACAGTCTGAGTTCGGGAAATGTTTGCTAAGATTCGCAGACTGTTTCATTTCAGTGTTTGACTGGAGCTAGGCAGAGGGGTCCAGGAAGAAGGTGATTTGGGAAGCAATGCTTTTCTGGAGATAATTGAAAGGCAGCCGTCTTGTCTTTTGCAGATGTGGTCACCCTCCTGGGCTTTCTCTATGCCTCCAGTGGAGAGAACACAGGCATCGTGAAGAAGTTGCCGAGATTTCGGAACCGTGAGCTGGAGGCCACCCGGCGCCAGCGGATAGATTACCCAGTGTAAGAATGGGCAGAGGGTGGGGGCTGCGGGGACCATGCCCTTTTTGTTGTTGTTAATCCTCACCGAAGAATATTTTTTCCATTGATTTTTTTAAAGTATATTCTTATTGATTTCAGAGAAGAAGGGAGAGGGAGAGAGAGAAAGAAACATCAATGATGAGAGAGTCCCACTGATCAGCTGCCTCCTGCACGCTCCCTACTGGGGATGGAGCTGCAACCCAGGCATGTGCCCTGACTGGGAATCGAACTGTGACCTCCTAGTTCATAAGTCCACACTCAATCTCTGAGCCACACTGGTTGGGTTCCATTGATTTTTTTAGAGAGTGGGAGGGAGAGAGAGAGAGAGAGACTGATGCGAGAGAGACACATCAATTGGTTGCCTCCCACCTGAGCCCTAACTTAGGCCAGGGATTGAAACTGCAACCCAAGCACCTACCCTCAAGCTGGAATCGAACCCGTGACCCTTTGGTGTATGGGTCGATGCTCTAACCACTGAGAACACCACTTTGGGCTGGCCAGGCTCTTTTTACCTGAGGACCGGAATCCCTTTAGAAGACAAGAAAAACCTTTTGTCATATGCTTTGATAAAATGTTGAGATCTACATGGCTTAGGCAGGATTTGTGGACCGGAAAACTTCAAAGTATTCCTGAATTATTCTTGCACTTACCAACCCTCAATTTGCCTTAGACCTTCCATGTCACGGTCCCAGGAAACACAAGTGGTGGGGGGCAAGGTGTGGGGGCCTGAGGCGTTTGCAGGGTTGAGGGCAGCCAGCCACAGCCAGCACAGATTGCAGCCTTTGTCCTGCCTTTTCTTGTCTTGGAAGATTGGATGAGCTGCTGGAAATCGCACCATTTCTGATCATCGTTGATTTCAGCAAAACCTCAGATATATTTTTTTTCCTTCTGCTGAATTAAAGATGCTGCAAATGGTTCCTGGTTCACCTCAGACTGGATGGATTTAGCAGAGTGATTTAATTCTTCCCCGGCTGCTGGCTGTAGAAAGATCTTGAGTCACTTTACTGAGCGTATGTTCTTGCTAAGCTTCCTTGTAATAACTTATCTTCATGAGCTTGCTCAGCTGGGTGGGTCAGGAGGGAGCTGTGTGGCACCATCTGTCTGCATATCTTACCACTGATTTGGAGGCCAGATTATAAAGCCCAGAATAATCTAAAGGACTTGTTTGGCTATATCCCCAAAGAGCCTGAGGCCACTGCCACTTTACCCCCAAACTGTGACTCGGTTACTGGGGTGATGGAGAGAACTCTGTGCCTTTGTTTTGACCTTGATTCCTGTTTTATGTGCAAAATGCAGTTGCTCCCCTGCCTCATCTCTGAGCTGCTGGTCACTCACTCAGTGTGTCACATCAAGCAAGTGTTCAGCAAATATTTGCTGAGTGATTGATGGGTCCTATATCTTGGTTAAAATCTATCCTAGTTAAGTTGATGACTGTTATTTTATCCTCACTCCACAAATCACAGATGTACAATATTTTTTTCAACTAAAACAGCCCCAATTCAGAAACGAAATAATTAGATTAATTGTCCCATATTGGTCAGCCAGAACTATGATACTCAACCTGATGTATGCCTTAAAATAGTATATATGTGTCCCAATTAGCATATAGTGATGCCATTTGCAGATTATGGTGCTCTTTCTACCTTACACTTTTATCTTTGAAAGAGGCAAAATTGCTCAGAAAGCCCTAATTATGTTTTTCTTTTAATCATCGAAATTAGAATAGCTTCTTATCAAATCACCTCTTATTAAAATCCAGATTCTCATTCTATGTCTGGCTTTAGAAGCCCTAATCAAGAATTTAAATGGCAGACATGTGAGGTTCTCATAGAGGCACAGAAACAGAGGTTTAGGTGCAGGTAGGATGTCTGCTAGTTGAGTACCATGATGCTTAACTCCTGTCTTTTACAGTTTCTATAACTATACCTCCTTTGTCTCAAAAACCAAGCTTCGCAAGCTGATCTCCCCGATGAACACGAAGGCAGATCTATCCCTTCATTAAAAAGAAAGCAATTTACTTGGTCATTGTTAACTATAATTACCTGTGTGTGGATGATACAATCTGCATAATTTCCTCCCCCTCACTCTTATAGGTTTACTGTTTCATTGTGGCTTTATTTACTCCATTATTGCAAGGCCAGTCTCTGCGGGATTCTGTACTTTGTTGATTCCAACGAGATGTACGGCACGCCTTCTGTATTTCTTACCGAAGAGGGTAAGTATGAAATAGAACCTTAAAACGATATCGTCATTTTCTCATGCTCTGTCTATTGGCATATATGTCTGTCTAGAATAAGGAAGATACTGTCAACGTGGCAATTTAGTGGGAGTGATGGTTTTCAAATGCAGGCTTCAAATTAAACTTTTTTTTTTCTGGAAGCTTAAAATAGCTGTCTCTTTACAAAGGAATACACGCGTGTAATTTTTTCTTTTCTTTTTTTTTCTTTTTGGCTTTGTTTTTGTTTAAAGGGAGAAGGAATGTGAGCTAGTCTGGTAGCTTCTTAGGATAATTGTTGAAAAGGGGTAGCCACTTCATTCACATATATATATAATTTTTTGGGTCATTTTCATGAGGTTTAATTTTCCTTTTAGGCCTCTTGCATATTCAAATGCATCTTGTCAAAGGAGATGACCTTGCAGTAAAGACGAAATTCACCCTGCCTTTGAAGGAGTGGTTTCGCTTGGATATTTCATTCAACGGAGGCCAGGTACCTACGCACGCTGCTCCGCGACTCCTATCGGCATCATCACTTAATGTGAAGCATGGCTGTAAAGTCAGGAAGCAAGACAATCTCTAATAGCAAATTTGTGGCAAATGATAAACTCCTTACAACTATACACTTTTTCAATCAAACTTTTATGGATGGAAGTTTAAATCATAAGAATCCTATCCCATTTAATTGGCTCTTTAAAGTGCTGCTTTCAACCATACCGTGAACGAGTAAATAACATAGCCGGCTATATAGCCACAATTATCCGAGGAATCCAGCGCTTTTCCCCTGGCGAGATAGGCTTTGTGGAGATAAATGTTAACACAGCACCAGCCATGTTTATATAGTGTCATTGGATCTACAGCTTTTTTTTTTTTTTTTAACAGGAAATTTATTAGTTAGTGGAGTCAAGAAATGGTTTGACTGTTTTTGGCAGTTGAAATAATTGCTTATGTTTGGCATAAACAGACCAATAATAATTAACAAACCTAAGTGATAATCCTAGTGGGACAAAGGGTGTTTATCTACTTTGTACTATAAAACACTGTTCATAACTGTTTCAAACTCTCATAAGGCAGATATTATGGATTATGGCAAATCCGCTGTTATAATTGAATACAATTCCCTTTTTCAATCTACACAATGTCAGTATGCTACCTTTTTTTTTCTGGTGACTTTATTTTCTCAGCGGCTTTTCTTATTGATTTGTGATTTTCTGGCAACAAAACTGGAAGAGACTTCTTGTTTGTCTCGTGTATTATTAGATGGTACGCAGACCTCCCTGGGTGGCTAGGTTTATCTCATTTCCTTTTTCTGAAGAGAAAAGAAATCAGGTCAGTCCTTGTTGCATTACTGAGAAGAGCCTGTGAGATGTTGGTTGTTTTTATGTTAGTTTATTTCTTCAACGATGTTAGGTGACATCGCTGTGGTCCGTGTTTTAGCTTCTCATTTACATGATGATGTTGATGGCGTAGCTTGGTTGCTGCTTTTCTCCTAAGGAGGTCAGCTTAGTACTGTGTGTCACTTAGGTATCAAATCATGATAGAGCAAATCACAGATCTTATTTTGCACCTGCTGTATGCAAGACACTGTGCTCACGGAGCTTATAGACTATTTTGGGGATTAACATTAGGCGGGTGAAGGGATGTCATAAGGTGAGCTTAATTGCCAAATGACTCACATTGATTCGGAGACAAGAGACAGCGCTTCAAGCTGGGATGCTCAGGGAAGCTTCCACAGAGAAGGTTCCTACGGATGGGCAGAATGAGAGGCAGAGGAAAGCCGGGAGCATCTTGGCACATCGCTGGGGGTGAGTGGAGAAGCCAGTTTGACCGGAGTAGAAATTTGTAGACCGCGGGACACTAATAGTAGAAAAAACAGTCTTCAGGGCTGGCATGTGGAGAATCTTGATTATCATGGAATTTGGGTTTCTGCTTGCAAAGCAGCAGGGTGTCATGGAAGCTTTGAGAGCAGAAGAAGAGTAAATCAAAGTAGTTCTTTAATTAAAGAGAAGGATTCAATGGCAGAGCACATGCTCAGATAAAGCAGGAGAGAAGAATTAGGCAGGCCAGATGGGATGGAAAGAAAAAAGATTTTTTTTTTAGTAGACTTTTTATCTGTTTCCTTTCCATTCTATCAGTTCTGCCTAAAAAATGTAGGTCCCGAAACAATACTTAATTGTTTTCCTACACAAAATCCATCTCTGTGGTGGGATGACCATATTCATCACTTTGACTAAAGGGACAAATTGAATGAAAGTGAATGGTTGGATTAGAGAAACCACTGGTTTGAGTCATTTTCTTCATTTTGTAGATGGCTGAGTTGGGTTGGTTTTTATGGGCTCGTTTGTCTTTCAGAGACACAGTGTTGTAGGCACATCTTTGAGAACCTAGTTAGGCCAGCACATGTTTGGTAAACACTGGCTCTGGGCTAGTGCCAGGAGGATGAAAGAGCTTCTTAACTCCAGGGGCTTGTGTTGGAATCCAAGACACCGAGAAGAATACCTGACAGTTAATGGCAGCTAATAACACCCGGGACACAAACATTGTCACCATTGAAATGACTTGGGAAAAGAAGGTGGGAAATAGCAGTGCGTGAAGCCAGTCAGCATCAATTTTGTCCCCCACCCCCACCCCCCAAGGCTTTCATGGAATTCAATAAAAATTTCAAAAACTCCTTGTATTTTACGCATTTTCTTGTCTTCTTGCCTGCCTTCCTTCCTTTCTTCCTTCTTCCCTTTCTTTCTTCCTTCCTTCACTCCTTCCTTTCTTTTTTACAATTTTTAAAACTGATTTTTAGGGAGAGGGAGAGAAAGAAACATCAATGTGAGCACAAAACATTCATCGGCTATCTCTTCGGCTTGTAGTTTGGAAATCTCTGAAACCCACCAGGAAAAACTGCTTTACAGATCTTTTTACTACATCAAGTCATTTAGAGAAATTAAATTTCTTAAGTCTTAAAATACACACAGGGCTAGTAAACTGTTAATTTTATTTTTGCAGAAACTGATCAGGCAAAAGGCTATGCATCCCATTTTGAGTAATTTATATCCAGGACTATATATATGATGTGGGGTGTTGAGGCATAACTGATTCTTGTGTATCTCTCCCACCACAGATAGTAGTCACCACCAGCATTGGACAGGATTTGAAAAGTTACCACAATCAGACCATTAGGTAAGTGTGATCTTTCTTGTGATTGAAATGTTGCTGAATGAGGGTTAAGGAATCTTCATGCCTTAGCCTTCAACCCTAACGTAATTCATTATTCTCACACCTCCTTATTCAGCTTTCCAAGCATGGACTAGTCTGCCCTGTGGCTAGTCTTTGTACTTTTTTTTCTTTCTCCTTTTTACTGTTCACAAACTCTCCCTTTTGCCCCACAACCTTTTTTCCTAAGCAGGAGAAACTACTTCTCTCTCCAGATCGCATTGTAAATTCTTTCTTTCATGGCACTTTGCATTACTCATTTTCTTTGAAATTATCTTCTACGAAGGATTCTGAAAAATAAATCAAAATATTAATGTTGCTTATTGAGAATGGTTGGTAACGTTGGCCTAGTATAAGACATAAAAGCAGACAGTCTTCATATTTATGTTTATAATCTAAATTTGAAATGTATGCAACTATTGATATTGGTGTAACTTTTCATCTTTATAGAACTGTTCTCTATAAGAGTTATAGAAACTGAGAATTGGGTCCCTTGCCTTGTATTTCATAATTTTTTTGAATTTGCTTCTTTATCCCTGTATAATAGCAAGTGTTAGTGGCAGAACCATGGGGCAACCTTCTTTAGGAACTCAGGATACCTCATCATAGTTTGATAATCCTATGTAATAAAAGCCTAATATGCTAAGTGTCTGGTTGTCTGTTCAACCAATCAAAGTGTAATATGCTAATGATATGCTAAGGCTGCTCAACCACTTGCTATAATGTGCACTGACTACCAGGGGGCAGATGCTCTGACCGGTTGGTTAGCTTACTGCTGGGGTCTGGCAGATCGGGACTGAGCGAGATGGGCCAGACACGCCCTGGAGCCCTCCCACAGTCCCTCCCCAACTGGCCAACCTCCCTCATCCCAATCCCACAGGCCAGTTCGAGGGACTTCATTGGTGCATGAATTCATGCACCGGGCCTCTAGTATATATATATATTCAAATGCTTAAGAATGAGTCTAAAGAACAGAAACAAAAATTACCAGCTTCGAACATATAGTATTTTTTAAAATGTATCAGGACAGTTGGACACCTTGCCTGGGCTGGGGTTGGGGGTCATTCCTCCCTCCTGTAGTCATTGACTACACCAAGCACAAAGCTGCTTTTCTAAACACCTCCATTCACTCAAAGGCCCCTCACAACCCATATTTTCTTGAAAACCAATTATTACAGAAAGGAAAGCAAACAGGAGGAGACAGGGGAATAAAGGGACATACTCTCTACTCCCCCCCACCCTGCCTTCCCCCCCCACCCCGCCATTTCTGTTTGCATTTAAGCCAAGCTGATTCCTTTTAGGCCCTGGGCACATAGAACAATTCTTAGAGTCATGACTGGATTAGAGGATTAGAGTTATATGAAAGGCTAAAGAAGTGTTATTCCTTAACCTGCACAGATAGGTCAGTGGTGACTTGATAGCTCTATTGTATGTAGACCGAGGCCCAAGACTGGAGCAGAAGTCTGCAAGTGCACTGATTGGATTTAGACCAGCCCAAAGGCAGTTGGCAGGTGTGAGTTTTGCTGTATATAACAGGTGGCTGTGAGCTCTTTTCTGAAGAGGAGAATAGGAAGGCCCGGGAGTTTTTGCTTTGCTGAAACGGATGATAGTGGCTCTTTGGAAATCCCTCGAGTGCCCTGTAAAGGGGGCTCCAGAAATTCAGGGTTTGTGTTTCAGGATATGAAGTCTAAAATAATCCCTCCCTCAGCCCAGCCCAGCCAGCGTGGCTCAGTGGTTGAGCGTTGACCTATGAACCAGGAGGTCATGGTTCAATTCCTGGTCAGGGCACATGTCTGGTTGTGGGCTCAAACCCCAGTGGGGGTTGGGCAAGAGGCAGACGATCATGATTCTCTTTCATCATTGATGTTTCTATCTCTCTCTCCCTCTCTCTTCCTCTGTGAAATCAATAGAAATATATTTAAAATAAAATAAAATAATCCCTTCCCTTTTCTCCCTTGACACCCACCTCCAACCCCAGAACATTTATGACAACCAATCGAATTTTATGGGATCTTTTTCATTTTTTATGTAAAGGTTTCCTTTCCTTCTAAATTCCAGAAATCTAGAGGCTGACATGACTGAATCATAGACACAGAGGTCACAGTCTGACCCAGAGCTGGGAACAGGGTGAGGTGAGAAAGGAAAAAAACAAAGTCCACCACCCTCAGTATTGTATTAGTTTGCTGGGGCTGCTGGAACAAAGTCCCACAAACTGAGTAGCTTCAACCACAGAAATGTATTGTCTCCCAGTCTGGAGGCTCGAAGTCCAAGATCACGGTGTCAGCAGAGCCATGCTCCCTCTGAAGGCTCCAGAGAAGGGTCTGATCCAGACCTCTTTCCCAGCCCTGGCAGTTCTTTGACGTGGGCAGCATAACTCCAATCTTCACATGGTGTTCACATGGTGTGCGTGTCTGTCTTTGCCCAAAGTTCCTCTGATTATGAGGACCCCAGTCACATGGGATTAAGGGCTCCCAGCATGGCCTTCTCTTAACTTACTACATCTGCAATGACCCTATTTCCAATAGGGCCACATTATGAGGCCCTTGGGAGTTCAGACTTCAACATATGAATGTTGAGGGGGGGTACAATTCAACACATAACAATAATAACGGTAACTAACATTTATTACACTATTTTCTACAATCAAAATTAATGTCAAGAATCCATAATGAACAGAATATCACAATATTAAGAAAAGACAAAATCAGTGTGGTCATAGAAGATTGTAGAGATGAGGGCTGGTTTCCCGGTATATACATACCAATCCAACATCCCAGGTAAAACACTGAAGTGACTCCTTACTTGGCAATACCGGCAGTGCCCACACCTAGGAGTGCCCTCCCCACCACCTCAGCTGCTCTTCCCTGGTCCCTGGAACCGCTCCCATCAAACTAAAGAGTTAACACCAGGCTCATTGGGACCCTTGTGGTTAGATATTTGGAATTGCACTTTCAGAGTGGGCCAAGCCAGTGGACTGAATAGTCCAGATGTTTCTAGAGTTTCCAAGGAAAGCCTCTTCACCTTTTTTTTCTATTTGTTCTTGAAGTAAAAACATAATGGCACCTGCTCTCCCACAACATTGGTATAGGAAGGTCAGTGACTAAGTGCTCAAAAGTGCTGTGCTACCCATGCATGAAAGGCTGCCAGTAACACTTGGTGGCAGGTAACAACTGCAGACCCGTATAGTGTCGAATTCACTCACCTGTCCATCCATCCACTCATCCATTCGTCCGTCCATCCATCCATCCATCCATCCATCCAACCACCCACCCATCTAGTTTATATTCACTCATTCACAGGATCCACGTGGCAGACACAGTGCTGAACTCGGACTAAATACAGTCAGTCCCTGCCTTCCTGGAGCTAAGAAGTCTAGTGGGGGAGATAGATCTTCGACAGATAAATTCACAAATAAATTTAAAATGACAAATTGTGGCGAATGCTAGGAAGGAAAGGAGTAAGGCAGCCTGAGAAGATGACAAGGGGTCAGCATTTAGAGCAGGTCCTGAGGGAATGACATTAAAGATGAGAATTACTCTGAGGAGTGAGGGGGGCAGCTAATTGGTGGCTCTAAGTTCCCCTGTGAAAGCCCCCTCGAGCTGGAGCTGTTTCCTGATCCTGAGTGAGGTCTGTTTAACAGCATTGGCTGCCCATGCTCTGCAGTCATAACCCAGGAAGCTCTTCTACGTCCAGATGAGAGTAGATGTCTGCCAGTGTGTCTGAGGTTTTTGAAAGGGACCGGCCTGGGCTCTGGAAGATCCAGCTCAGCTCTTATGTCAGAGAAACGGATGACCATCATGTAGTGCACCCTACGAGGAATCACTTGCAATGTTTGTGCAGCCTCTGAGGATTTTAGAGGAGAAAAATGTTGGAGACCAAGCTGGAAAGATCTCCTATTTGGTTATATTATAATCATGATGAAAAACTGAAAAACATAACCCAGTACCATAGGCACCAAGTAATTTATTGGTTAACTTCAGTTAAAGCAAAGTTTTATTTTAAAAAGATACCTTAACCATTTTATTTTAATTAAAAGATAGAAATGAACAATCATTGCCAGTCTTTGCAGGTAGGGCCTTTCCTTTGAATATGAATCTCCCGATCAGAGTTCTCTCTGATCTTTTGAGTAAACGGCATGCAGTGTCTGTTTCTTCCAATGAAAAGAAAACAAAGACACATGTAAAATGATCAGAGCCTAAAATCCATCTAGATGTCTTCGATTTCTTTTTCCAACCTTTTACAATTGTCCTACTTCCACAACAATTTTTAGTAACCTTTTTTTTTTTTCAGAGAGGAAGGGAGAGGGAGTAAGAGATAGAAACATCAGTGATGAGAGAGAATCATTGATCGGCTGCCTCCTGCATGCCCCACACTGGGGATCAAACCCACAACCCTGGCATGTGCCCTGACGGGGAATTGAACTATGACCTCCTGGTTTATAGGTCAATGCTCAATCACTGAGTCACGCTGTCTGGGCAGTAACCATTTTTTATCTGAGTCTCCTCGAAGTATTCAACTCAGAATGAACAACTTCTTTTTTTACAGAATGAACAACTTCTGCCCCACCCATATTTTATTGGGTAACATAATATTTAATTATATTGTACAATTAAGTGACCATACAATTGGCATTAACATGTTTGGAAACAAACACATCTGACTTGTACTAAGCATGTCACTCAAGCGGTGGTAGACAAAGTCCAACAGTGGACTAGGTGAATAATAATAATCATGAAGTTATGGTGCCTTCTATGTGCCAGGCACTGTTCTAAATGCTTTGTTTAAATCCTAGTTCATTGAATCCTCTCAACAACCCTGTAGACAGGTTTATTATTATATTTATCCCATTGATAAAATGAGAAACAAGGCTCCAGCATGCAGGGATGGGCCATCAGGGGAGCGGGCGGGCTGGTTAAGCAGAGTTCCTGAGAGCTTTTACTCCAGAAGCATTGCTTGGTATCCACGGAGTGCGGGGGATTGTCTCAGGAGGGCAGTTCAAGTCTTTCCAAGGCCTTGGAAAACAGAGTCAGTGTACACTCTGAGATGATAACTTTGTGGTCCCACCTAAAAAAAGTGGGGGGGAGGAGACCGTCATCTTCTCCTGGCCCCTCAATTCTGAGATTCTGCAAAGAGAACTAACGGGAGAGGAAGCACTTCTTTTCCATGTGAGTTGCCTTTGTCTACAGCGCATTCCAGAGCGCTCATTCCAACTGCCCTCAGTTGGTGCTGTCTGCACGGGCCCATCTCGGGCCCATCTCATCACTCTTTTGTCTCCCTCTCCAGCCAGGTGTGCCTGCTAAGGGTCAGGTTCCTTGCTAACAGTCAGTCCATCTCCCCCCCCGCCCGACCCCCCCACCGCCTCATCCTGCTTGTCTTTTTTTGATCCAGCCGCTGGTAGCTTTCTCTGTCCCCATGAGCATCACCCTGGCCTGTTGCCCCTGTGGCTCTCTGGGCTCCTGGCGGCCTGCCTGACATTTTATGCTCTTTCTTTCTGCTTCCATCTGCCCTCTACGCTTCCTGGCTCTTTGCTCTTTGCCTGGCTTGGTGTCCACCCCCACCCACTTGCTGTTCACATATGCTCTCATTGCACCTTTCCTATTTTAATTTTTAGAGAAATAGGCAATTAATGCACATGGTTTTTAAAAAAATAAAATTATATGAACAGGTATACAGTTAGATGTCTTGCTTCTCTCTCTGCCCCCATCCATTCCACCCTAACATCCCCAAGGGCACCCTGTGCCATGAGGAAATATTGTATTTGTTTCCTGTATACTTACAAAGTTTTTATGCAAATTAATAAAATATATATTCATTTTCTTCTTTCCTATGTAAAAAAGTATACCCTTTGTTCTGCACTTTTGTTTTTATATTTTTCACTTAGCAGTGAATTTTGGAGCTCTCTCCAGGTCAGTCCACTGAGCCCCCACCCCTTGTTTCAGCTGTGTAGGGAGAGAGCACACGGCCAGGCCCCAGCACGGGTGTGGTCAGTCCTCACTGACAGACGTCTGGAGTTCGCCAGTCTCTGGCGAATATAATCAAGGTCGCAAGGAACAGCTTTGGGCATTTTATTTGTGCTAACCCAGTTCTCCTTCCATTTTCCTTTCTGATCCTTTGAGTCTTTGAGGACAACATGGACTTTCGTTGTGTCACCTGTGCTGACCTTTTGTCTTTGGCCAAGACCTTTGACCTTGCTGTGGCCTCCTCCTCCTAACTGAATTTACATAAGTTCTTATTTAATAGGATATGTTTTTAGTTTTCCTCCACAGATGCCTTCTATCCATTCAACAAGTTTTGTGTGTGTTTTTTCTCCTTTTAGAGTGAAATAGTTCCTGTTGTGGCCAGCAATTCCAAATAATTTTAATGACTCCAAACAGTTTCACCAATCTCAATAGCCATTCCTTTTTGACAGTAATCCAGGCACTCGACTAGTCGTTTTATATCTTTCTATTCACTTAATTCTTTTAACGATCCTATAAGTGAGGAGCTAATTGACTAATGAGAAAACTCAGTCCCAGAGAGGTTAAGCGACTGGTCCAAGGTCACACAGCCGGTAAAGGGCAGAATCATAGCCCAAGCCTGCCTAACTCCACCATCATCTCATCTGCTAGAACTCCGAGTGAAGGGCCTGTGGGAATTTGGAGTAAGTTAATGAGGGTCAATGCAAGAGTTTCTTTTTCAAAATCTGGTTCAAACACAGAGCCTTTGTGTTTTTCTGTAGATTCCTGGAGGACTTCCATTATAATGACACTGCTGGGTACTTCATTATCGGAGGGAGCAGGTATGTGGCCGGCATCGCAGGATTTTTCGGACCTCTGAAATACTACCGTCTCCGCACTCTGCACCCTGCACAGGTGAGCCCTAGGGATCGAGGCAAAGTTTGTGGGTGCTCACGGGTGTGTGGCTCAGGCCTGGAACCCTGTGTAAACAAAAGATTTATTTAAGCGGGATCTCTCATCGGCTCTGTCACCAAACATTATTAATATTGAGTCGTTTCCCCTAGCTAACACGATAATAGATTTCTGTTAACGTTTGGTTCATTTAGTACTCATAAAATGGAAACCATTTACTTCCTCTGTTTTAATAACCACTGGATTAATTATAGAGTAGGTTTTTATCAGGCTGTTGCCCATCCAGTGATTAAACTAATGAAAGGAGAGAGTCTTAGTTATTTGGTAAAGCTTCCTTTAGATGCTATTTTTTAAAGGAGCAACAGAGCAAGCCTCGCTAGCAGATGAGGTTCTGTTCACCACGCCCTTCAGAAACTCGGGCCTCCGGCTCACACTCAGGTGGCCGGCCCAGAGGGCTTCACAGCTGCTGTTGGATGGCTCTCACCTCCAAACCCACCCCCAGATGCACCTGTCCAGTGTCCAGGCCCACCCACAGGGCTGCTGCCCAGGGAGGAGGCTGCCCCACAACGGCCTTCACAGCCATTGTTTTCTCTGCCTTTGTAAAGAGATCACTGAATACCTGAAAAAGGAACTTTCTTTCATTCCTGTGACCCTGTGGGGTTTGTTCTGGAAAAAGCAAGAGGCACTAGACAAAGTCATTGAGGAAAAATGAGGATCCCTCCCACCCATGGGTGCATCTTAGAACCCCAAGTGAGAGACCTCTATAAAGAGGAAAAAATGAGATTTATTCATTTGTGTGGCCAATACTCATTGAACACCTACTCTGTGCCAGGCTCTGTGCCAGGTGCTGAGGCGTCCAAGGTTAATTAAGATGGTAGCTTTCAGCTTTGCTCAGTGGCAGTATTGTAGCCAATGAGGTTTATCCCAGGTGCGATTATTGCTAATTGAAAAAAAAATAAAGATAGTAGCTTTCAAACTTGTTTTTTGAAGGTGGTCCACAATAAGAAATTTAATATCATGAATAGTACATATGTATGCCCATATATACACACACATATACATATATACACATACATATACACACCCTTGCTACGTTCAGTGTACTCAGATATTTTGTGTTTTATTTTTCTAAAAATCACTGCTTGTGACAGCCACTAAAGTGATTTCATAACCCTCTAATGCAGCGGTTCTCAACCTGTGGGTTGTGACCATCGGAAAACACATATAGCATATCAGATATTTACATTATGATTCATAACAGTAGAAAAATTACAGTTATGAAGTAGCAATGAAAATAATTTTATGGTTGGGGGTCACCACAGCATGAGGAACTGTATTAAAGGGTCGCGGCATTAGGAAGGTTGAGAACCACTGCCACAACCTATATTTTGAAAACCACTGAGTTGAGACAGGCCTTTATATATATTGATTTCAGAGAGGAAGGGAGAGGGAGAGAGAGATAGACACATCAATGATGTAAGAGAATCATTGATCGACTGCCTCATGCACATCCCCTTCCTCCCCAGGGGATTGAGCCCGCAACCTTGGCAAGTGACCTGACTGGGAATTGAATCGTGACCTCCTGGTTCACAGGTCAATGCTCAACCACTGAGCCACACTGGTCAGGCCATGAGACAGGCCTTTTTTCTTAAGGAGCTTCCTTATCTCTCTTAAGCAAATATGTCATGAAAGAATGTAGTATGTGCATTCATTCAGATGTGAGCACAGTGTTTGGGAGCACCGAGGTGGGAACATGGCTATAGGCAACCAGGTGAGGGTGGGGTAGGCTGTTAGGGAAGCTTCCCGGAAGTGATGACCTTGAATCTGCCCCTTGGAAATTGAGTAGGAGCCTGCCAAGCAGAAGAAAACAGGAGAAGGGCTCCCAGTCAGCTGCACAGCACAGGTAGACTTCCTGTCCCTTGAGAACTGAAGGGGAGAGGAATATGATTTTCTGGGGACAGCATGTGGTGGGGAGCAAGAAGAGCGTGGCGGCCTGGCCTCTGGGAAAGCCTGGCATTTAAGAAGCTCTGCGGGGGAGAAGATGCCGCAAAAAGAAGCCAGGAGGAAGTGGCCGGAGCCAGAGTGTCCTTGAATTACATCCTCCCTTTGCAAACCCAGATTGAATGATTTGAGTGCAAACAAGCCAGCTGGTAATGTCAGAGGGAGAAGGACATCAACCCGGACACAGCCTCATAGGTATTTGTTTGATGACAATTGATCGCTCGATTTTCTTGCCTTCTTATAGATTTTTAATCCCCTCCTTGAGAAGCAACTTGCTAAACAAATCAAGTTATATTACGAAAGGTGTGCAGAAGTTCAAGAAATAGTGTCTGTGTACGCATCCACGGTACAACAAGGCAGCAGGAGCCAAGAAGCATGTAAGTATTGAGCTTCAGGAGAGCAATCTTTTTTAAAAATATCTTTTTATTGATTTCAGAGAGAGGAAGAGAGAGATAGAAACATCAATGATGAGAGAGAGTCATTGATCGGCTGCCTCTTGAACTCCCCGTACTGGGGATTGAGCCCGAAACCCGGGCATGTGCCCTGGCTGGGAATCGAACCGTGACCTCCTGGTTCATAGGTCGATGCGCAACCACTGAGCCATGCCAGCCGGGCCAGGAGAGCAATCTTTAGCTCTGTGCATCTGTGTCAACACATTTGGCTTCTTTCTGGCGGGGTTGGAATAGAACATATATGACTTGATCGATGGGGAGAAGTATGACCTCTGCAGACAGATGCAAGGGAAAGTGTCCATTCCACCTGGATTCCAACCAGACCAACGGCCGACAACAGCCCAACCTGCCTCATAGCTTTAACCGTACGTGGTTTAGCTTAAGTGCACAAAGGGAAGTGTTTTGAGCCTCACATTTCATTATTCCCATTCAGAGTGGGATCTGAGGCCGGTCTAAGAAAATAAAAATGAATTGGAAAATAAATTAATCATTAGAAACGTTTCCCCATCGGTGCACTTCTGTCTTGGACCATTAATATCTGAATATTAGCTTTCAGAAGTGTTGAACAATGACTTTGTTGTTCGGGGCTCGGTTTTATTTTTTCAATCCCTGAAATCGACTCATGCTGGAAGACATCGGTAATTTGTAACAGAAGGAATGAGTTTCAAATAGAAGGCTTTCGTGCCTGCTCAGAGTTGCGCGGACATCCTTTCACTCATATGGGGTGTGTTTCTGTTATAAAACGGGTCTCGTCTTGTCTTCCAACGTTCCAGCTCAGATCTGGCACTTAGCAATTTCTCTGTGCTAGGGATCTTCCTGCTTGATGTGGTGGCAATAGAGTTAGTCACATATGTTCCTTCTGGAAGAGAAGTTCCTCTGGGGCCTTTGCCATCAGCAAAAGCAAATTGAGTATTTCGGTGCTGCCCCCATATCTCATCATCTCCAGAACTGAACTTCCTGATTCAGGCCAGGGAGGAATGGATGTGTTGTGAACATACCCCAGTCCCATAGGGTTCGCATAGCACAGTCCCGGGGAGTGATTGGAGGTGGCGATAGGTAAATGTGGAAGGACGGCTCTTCTGCAATTCGATTTAAGAATAGGCTATACTGGTCCCCAGCTACTGCTCTCACTGCTGAATCATCCAGAAAATACGATGCTGTCAGAAGAGGGGGGAGATATATAGGAATAGGAATGTCCTGAGCAGGAAAGAAACTGGTATTGATAGCTGATGACATTGTAGGGGAGGTAGCCTGCGTGGGCAGGCCAGCCTTGCATGCTGATCTGTTTGGGGCATGGGGATGATTTTTCTACCATCTACCGCCTTGTGTCCCTGGGGATCGTTGGACTTTGCTCCTCAGCTCACACTGCCAACAAAATGGCCTAGATATTGGCCTCCTGGGGACCAGTCCGAGGCCAGCTGCTCATTCTGTAGAATTATTCAACAGCCATCAGCAACTTTGGCACATTTCCCTCGGACTTGGCTTTGAATTTGTGACCTCAAGGCAAAGGCATTGTACCAATTTCAAATCCCTAATGCAACCCAACCCATACCCAGTAACGGTACATCTGACCTCTTATTTCTAGTTCCCCTTAGGGGGAAAGGGTGCAGAGAGGTGAGACTTACCCGTCCCAAGGGGAGTGGTATCTTATGCTTCCCTCTCCTGCAGGTGACCTGCGGAACTCCTACTTGGACCTGAGGCGCAGGTACGGGAGACCCTCCATGTGCAGAGCCTTCCCCTGGGAGAAGGAGCTGAGAGCCCAGCACCCCAGCTTGTTCCAGTCGTTGATGGAAATGGGTCTGTTGACGGGTAAGTGTGTCTCTGCCTTGCCTTTGGATGCCGGTTAGGAAGGCTCCCTGTTTTCCCACCCTCTTTGGTGATTTATGCCTCCAAGTTATTTTTAACCTTAGTCTTCTAGCTTAACTTTAAATTTAAATTCTGCCTTATCCACAACCCTCAATATATCTATGCACACTTCCAACACTAAATACAAAAACTTATATTTAGGAATCGCTTGAACAACTCTTTTTTTTTTATTGATTTCGGAGAGGAAGGGAGAGGGAGAGAGATAGAAACATCAATGATGAGAAAGAATCATTGATCAGCAGCCTCCTGCACTCCCCCTGCTAGGGATCAAGCCCAAAGCCCAGGCATGTGCCCTGCCTGGGAATGAAACTGTGACCTCCTGGTTCATAGGTCGATGCTGAACCACTGAACCACCCTGGCTGGGTGCTCAAGCAATTCTTTAGTTAAAGCCAAAACCTCAAGTGGACAGCCTGCAGCCAGAGCTGGTCCCCAAATGCAGTTGGTTTGGCTCAAAAATTGTTGTTGATTAAAAAAAAAAAAAAGTTACCAGTATCAAAAAACCTTGTGTTAAAATGCAAATTTTTAGCTTTTCTCAAAACATTCAAAGACCTGGCGACCTGGCCTACGTTGCAGCAACTCTGACGGCGAGAGAACGCTCAGGCCATTGATAGCCTCTTCTCTCTATTTCAGCAGCACCTGCCTACCTCTTTCATGGGCCTCACCTGCCTGACCCATAGACACTTGAACCTGAGACCCCTGATTTAAAGTGCACTTTAAATTGCATCTCAAGAATCTTTCCAAATGTGCCAGCTTCTCCCCTTGCGATTTGGGTCTGCTCAGAAATTCAGTACACCCTGTAAGGCCATGAGTTCTCTTGAAACCATGTCATTTAGGAAGAGGAGAGAAGCTGAGATGTTCAGTCTGGGGATGGGGATTCAAAGGAGAAGGGTGATGATAATGATCTTAGTGGTCAGAAGCAACCCCTGGTGTTCCGGGCACATGGCTAGATCTTGTGTCAAGGCATTGCCGAAATTGACTTCTGCTTCATGTAAGAAGGAATTCAAGCCCTACGGGATATTTCATCTTTCATTCATTGATACTTGCTGAGTGACTGCTTAGTTACTTGGCTAGATTTCAGAGGTAAGTAAGACAACACAAAGCCCCTGCCCTTGAGGCACAGACTCGAAAGCAAGGAAAAAGGGCAATAATATTGAATAAAGGCTGTGGAAGTAAATGGTAAAAGAAGGGAGGGGTCCGTTTTACCTGAGGGGCTGGGATGTTCAGAGAAGGCTTCCTGGGGGAGGTGACGCTGGAACTGATATTTGAAGGGTCAGCAGGTATTTCCTAGGTAAGTAAATGGGGGTGGGCACTGTAGGCAGAGTAGCTGCAGGGAGGTGGGAACAGCACAGCAGTGTTAATGATGGGCAGGTGGTTGGGAGGCAGGAGAAGGCCTGGAGAGGAATGATTCCCACCAGAACTCAGACACCATTGGAAGAGTTTGGGCTTTGCCTTGTAGGTGACAAGGACCTGTTGAAGGGCTTCAGGCAGGGGGTAGAGGTGGGATCAGATTTGGGTTTTTGAGGTCCCTCTGGCAGCCCTGGGAGGCTGAGAGGAAGCAGAGCTGTGGAGCTGGAAGCAGGGAGTCCATTGCTACGGTCCAGGGGGAGAAGACGCAGGCCTGAACGGGACAGAGTGATGCAGTGAATAAGGGCTGGAAAGAGGTTGGCTCAGAGTCAGGCAAGGGAGGCCATGTGGAGTCGTGTGACAGCATAGCCTCTGGACCAGGTGGCCTGGGCCCCATTTGAACGTAACACACCTACTAGCTGTGTGGTCTTGATCCAGTTACTGCATTTCTCTGAGCCTCAGTTTCCTCATCTGCATAGTGGGGATGATAATGGTACCTCTCTCCTAGTGTTGGCTTAAATGAGTTGAGAGAAATATAAAATACTCAGAACAGTGTAGCACACAGTAAGCTCTTTGTAAGCAGTGTTTCTGAACCTCGGTGCTGTTGACATTTTGGACTGGATTCTCTGTGGTGTGGGATCTGCCCTCTGCTTTGTGGGATGCTTGGCTGTGTTTCTGGCCTCTATCCGCTAAGTATCAGTAGCACTCCCTCCCTCCCCATGACTCCCTTCTCGGGTGGACAACCAACAATGTCCTCAGGTGTTGCCAGATGTCCCCAAAGAGCCAAATCGCCTCTGGTTGAGTGTTAGGGCTCTTATCACCCAGCAGAGACAATTCCCAGGTTTTTGTTGGTCATCTGGGAGGCGGTGGAGCCGCCCTGCAAGACAGGCGACCAGGAGAGGGAGGCCCATGCCGGACAGTGTAGGCGAAATTGGTTTATGAGATTTCCAATCATATTTAAATGTCGTTTTGCCAATTGGGAACACGAGTGAATCAATTTCACAATTCTTTTTAAAGTAAATACTCTCAATAGAATCTTCTCATGTTGTTTTTACAGCTCAGAAGTTTTGTTTATAAGAATTTAGAACGATTTCTTCTCTGTGGAGTTCTGGAAGTGGAATTTAATTAAAAACCCAAATCATGTGCTCCCCAAACCCGAAGACTTCCTGGGCTGTGGTGCTGCCGACTGTCACATTGCAGCCGGCTGTGAACACCACTGACCCCAAGGGCCACCCCAACCCCCGTTCTGCCTTCAGCCCCTGTTCTTCCAGGTGACGTTGGAGGCTTCTGCAGAGGAGGCGCACAGGGTCCTCATTTAAATTCATCCCTACCTGGCACACTGCCCTCGCTTGGGCTGTCACAGCTCTCCCGCTCACCCTGGAGAGCCTGGTGCTAGACACTGTGCCCATTTTCTAACAAGGCTGCGAGAAGCGCACAACACTTGATTTCATAAATTGAGGGTAAAAAAAATAAGTGTGCAGTTTTTAACGTATCTTTCCTCTGGTCTATAAATAGAAGAGTAGTAAGACTGGTGTGACTGTGTTTCCATTCCTGGTCTCTCACATACCTTTCCTCCCAAGCTCACCTTGCTGGGAGTGAGTGTCTGGCCGGCTTTGGGGGGCTCTGAGCCACTCGAGTTAATAGGGACTGTGTTCGCAGTGCTTTCTGCCGCCGCCCCGAGCTGTCCAGTCTGCTGACTGGTGGACTTGAATAAAGTCCGTCCTCATCGTAGTACAGTTCTCATTTCTGAGATACGCTTTATATTTATATATTTTATTGATTTTTTACAGAGAGGAAGAGAAAGGGATAGAGAGTTAGAAACATCAATGAGAGAGAAACATCGATCAGCTGCCTCCTGCACACTCCCCACTGGGGATGTGCTCGCAACCAAGGTACATGCCCTTGACCGGAATCGAACCCGGGACCCTTGAGTCTGCAGGCCGACGCTCTATCCACTGAGCCAACCCGGTTAGGGCACTTCTCATTTCTGAGATACGCTCGGAGGATGGACTCGAGGATCGGGTGTTTGATGCTTGGAATTCTTGCTGTGGGAACTGACTAGGTGCAGACACAAAGGAGTTTAACTGTCTCTGGAACTTCTTTTCTTTTTTAAAATTTATCTTTATTGTTGTAAATATTACAGATGTCCCTCCTTTTCCCCCCACTCTCACCAGCCCCCCCCCCCACCATGACTTCACCACACTATTGTCTATGTCCATGAGTTATGCATATACGCATATGAGTTCTTTGGTTAATCTCTCCCCAACCCCAATTCCTCTTAACTCTGAGATTCATCAGTCTGTTGCATGCTTCCATGTCTCTGGATCTATTTTGTTTGTCAGTTTATTTTGTTCATTAGGCTCCACATATGAGTGAGGTCATCTGGAGAGTATGATGCTAAGCGAAATAAGCCAGTCAGAGAAGGATAAGTATCACATGTGTCAGGAATTTCTTAAGTCACTCGTGTCACAACTTTCCATTCCTCCCCTCTCCTCTCCGCCCTTCCCTTCCCTTCCCTTCCCTTCCCTTCCCTTCCCTTCCCTTCCCTTCCCTTTCCTTCCTTTCCCTTCCCTTCCCAACAAGTGTTGACCGAGTGCCCTCTGTGAGCCAGGACAGGACAGCAATGGGGTCATGTTTCTTTATATTTAGGGAAATAAAAAGAAAATACCAACACCCCTAATTTCTACCGAGGGAATTACTTTATGGAATTTTCTTTTCCTGGCATTTTGAAAAGAAAAAAAATAAGACAGCGTGAGACACTGGCCTGCGATTTCCGGTTCTTGGCGACAGTGTCCCTCTTCTTGGCAGCCTCTCCTCAGCGAGACGGCCGACTCCACTTCCCGGCAGCCACGCGTGTGCGTCTCCGACTGGAGAGTGTTCTCTCCCCACGCTGTGTGGTTTCGGGCGGATCATCGGCCCTCACTGTAAGCTAACAACACACTTCAGAGGAGCCGTGAGACCCTCGCAGGGGTGGGGAGGGGTCAGCAGCTCGGGCGTCACTAGCAACCGGCAGAGAGAGTGTCCCCTTCGTTCCGGCCAAGTGCCGTCAGGAGCGGTCACCGCTGTCCAGGGTGCCCAAAGGTGGGGCTGTGTGTCCTCCTGCAGAGGAGAATCACCAGGTATTCCCACGGCACTCTTTCAGGACTGGAATTAAAAGTATAGCCCGGCCCGCATGGCTCAGTGGTTGATCTATGAGCCAGGAGGTCACAGTTCAGTTCCCGGTTGGGGCACATGCCCGGGTTGTGGGCTTGATCCCCAGTATGGGATGGGCAGCGGGCAGCTGATCAGTGATTCTCTCTCATCATTGATGTTTCTATCTCTCTCTCCCTCTCCCTTCCTCTCTGAAATCAGTAAAAACATTTTTTAAAAGTATATACAAGTATACATATTTGTGTGGTAAAACACAAATGACAGCATTCCCCATTTTGAAGTGTAAAGTGCTGTTAAGGACCTTCACATTGTTGCTCAGCAGATCTCTAGAACTTTCTCATCTTGTAAAACTGGAACTGTACCTACTGAACAACAACTCCCCATCCCCCCTCAGGCCCTAGTCACTACTGTCCTACTTTCAGTCTCTATGAACTTGGCTATTCTGGATA